AGTTTTTTTAAACTTGAAAAGAAAATTCTAGATACTTCTGAAGTAAATTGGATTTTCAAAAATTGTTTGCAGGAGATCCATGAAGAGAGAGAATCACTACCTGAGAAGATGAGTTTATTTCCAAGAACAGGAAAACACAGTTGAACGACTTTTTAAGGACTGGATTGAACTATGGTCTTAAGAAAGTAGGAAAACTGAAAGGGATTTAATACTATATTGATCCCCCCACCCCACTCCATGAGCCGCGGAACTGGAGGCAAATGTGGATGAAATGGTTACACTTGTAAAACCCACGGTGTAACGTCTGGGAAAACCAAATTCTCAGTACATATTTTACCGAGTTTATACAAACGTGGGGATTGTGGGTAGCAGACATTAAACTATTTTTACCGAGTATATTGTCCCATGTTAAGGATGAGGGAAACAGAGATACAGAGATGCTGAATGACTTGCCCGCACTCTTCTAAGAAGTCAAAGGCCAAGATGGGATCCAAATTCAGATTGACAATTCCAGATCCTGTGCTTTCCAGCACGTCGTGATGCTTACCTTTGAACCACATACATTTAAAATTTAATTTTAATGCTTATTTTAAATTGTATTTCTTTGTTGAATTATTAATAAGTTCATATGGTATAAAGTTCAAAAAGTATAAAAGTGGAAGAGCAAGTGAAAATCAAATGAAACCAGAAAGGGCAAGTGAAAGCCATTTCTCTCCTACCCCAGCCTTCATTTCCCCCTCCTTAAGGCATTCCTCTCCAGCCAGCATCTTGTATATCTCTCCAGAGCATATTATCCACATGTATAATTAAGCAATGTTAATATCAAAATGAAAGATTCTTCAACATTATAACAAATGTTATGACTAATGCAGAAAGTCGCAACAAGAGGTTAATTCATTTAAGCCTCGAAATCAAAACTCCCTTGCTTCTTCCAATAGACTTTAAAATTCAATCAAAATTCAGTATAGTGAATTTTAAAAATAAAATATGTTAATTCACTATTCATTTGCTTGAATAGTTTTGAGGGGTTACAAATGTAAGGCTTCAAAATGATTGCTTAAATTTTCTCCAAAGCTTATATGAATTCCAAAAGCCCTCTTGAAAAGCTTCCAAACCACCTAGAGTCTATCTCCTTTCCCTTTCTTTCATTAAATATGTTGTTCTTACTCTCAGACCCTTTTCTTGGTTATTTGATTGAACCTTAGCCATCAAGGTGATATTGGCTAGTGACACTCTCATCGAAACAGTATGAGCCAAAAATACTAGTCTGGAGTGTATTTCTGGATAAATTATGAGCAAGCTAGCGGGTCATTTCTCTAACCAAATGCCTTTAAGTTTTCAAAATGCTCTAAAACTCTTTTCCCACGTGTTGTTTATCAGTATGAGTCCAGTTTTCACATGCAAAGTGAGTCAGATCCACCACACTCAGTTCTGCAGTACATTTTCGCAAGCGCTCCCATTTTTAGCCAAGTCATAGCTGAGCTTCACTTTCGGTTAATTAGTACTTATTCTCAAATCGGGCAGTTCTAACCCAAGCTAGGAGATGTGATGCAATTGACTTCCTCTCTTCTCTCCCAAAATTAACTAAGCTGTAAAATGTGAGCTTTCTCTTGTTTTTCCCTTTGTGCCAAGGTTTGATTCCATCATAAAGGATTCGACAGAACTCAGAATGTTCCAACAAATCTTGCTGTTCTGATTTGAACAAGGATGGAGTATTTCCTTTCTAAATCTCTTTGGTTGCCAAGCAACCATTAATTTATTGTAACCAGCTAATATTTAAAATTATGGATAACGGTTAAATAGAACAGTATGCTTTTTACATTCCTGAATGTACACTGCACTGGCCAGATGAAAATGATAATGGTCAGTCTTGCAATAATCAAAAACAAGCTACAAGGAATGCTTCTTAAGATTAAGAGAAGAGGGAATCTGTTCCCTACATGAGCCCTGTAAGTGTGGTCTTAGAGAACTTGGTATAATGTGAGGATTATGCAATCTGATGTCCACAAAATTGGAGGAGGCTCGCCTTGGTGCCCCTGCCATCCACAGTCGTCAGCTGGGAGCTGCCCATGGGAAGCACAGTCCCAGCAAATACAAGGGAAGGATTTCCGAGCACAGCAGATGGGGCTGCCCATCAGTTGCGCTCCCTGCCGTTAGAGAGGTGTGAGGTGCATTTGCACGGCCACTTCACACCTTAAGCAAAGAATGAATGAGTGAATGAATATAGTTTGCTTATTCTTGCTTAACCAGTAAGTTACCATCCAATCTATGCTTTCCATCTTTGCCAAATTACCTGAAATAGAAGCACACACTCACTCATTATTTCACCCATATTTTTGTTTTTTTCTTCATCCACAGCAGGATGGGTTCTCCTCCCTACTGCACTGAACCCACTCCACCCAAGGCGATCGTTGGCTTCTCAGCTGCCCTGTTTCAAGGATTGTATGCATTGGAGCTCAGAAATAAAGTCAGTCAGGGATGATGGTTGTAGATACAGGGACGTGGGAACTGCCAAAAATCTAAGGGAGGAAAGAAAGAGATAAAAATAGAGAAGTTTTATAAAAGCGAAGGAAGAAAAGAAGGAGAAGGAGAAGTTAAAGAAAAGTATAGAATTTAAAAATAACTTCCAGGATACTGAAAAATCTTTTCAGACAAGCAGCTCAGGAAAACCCAGGAACTTGGGTCAAATCTGCCATCTTCTGGCTGATTTCAGATTTACCAGAAGAGGTCAGCAAAGACATTAATATCAGTCTTTGCCTTCCCTAGAGGCAAAGTGGTTGGTTAGGAAAGGGTTTCTGCCTCTTGACTTGAAGCTTGTACAAGTCTTCCATTTTTCAGACTTCTAACTTTCTCAGGCTTGCTCTCCAGAATTTTGCAGCTGTCTGTGTTCCTGGGGATGGTCAGAGCTTATGTGTCTCATGAAATGACAGGCTTTCAATTTAAATTTATATACTTCTCCTGTGAGTCAGAGTGAATTAATTAAAGCTTCTGGCATGTTGGCCAATGCAATTAGACAAGAGGAGAAAAATGCAGGTATAAAATATTAGGAGGGGGGATAAAACAAAATTAACTTTAATCTCAAATAATTTGGATATCTGGAAAACTCAAGAAGATAAACTAAAAAAAAACAGTAAGATAACTCAGTGATGTGGCTGGGTACAAAATTTATATTCAGAAATGGAATCCTTCACATATACCAAAAAAAAGTTAGAAAATAGAATAAAAGGAAAAGACCTCATCTACGAAAGCAACAATAGCAAAGAAATACAACCATTAGAAATAAACTTAAAAAGTCAAGTTCAAGATTGACATAAAGAAAACTTCAAAATGTTGCTGAGACACAAAAAAAGACTTGAAAAAAATATAAAGGTTGGAGTCAACAACACAAAGATATCAATTCTCCCCTAAATTTATCAATAAGGATTATAAAATTCCAATTAAAAATGACAGCAGTGTTTTAGCTAGACAGCTGATGAAAAATTTTATATGGTTATGTAAACAAGCAAAAAATAGAAAGAGGAGAGTAACATGGAGGAACTCCAACTGTAAAGCAGAGTATATAGCTATAATTAAAACACTCAAGGGCCATCATTTGGTAAAGGTGGACCATTCAATATATGGTGAGATAATTAGCTGCCATCTAGGAAACAAATTAAGTTAAATTCATTTCTGAATCCTGTATATTATTTACAGCAGGGTAAATTTCAAATGGGTCAAAGGTCTAATGTAAAAAACAAACAAACATAAATTTAACATAAGAAATAAAAGAATGTTGACAAATCTGACTTTATAAAAGAATGTTTATAGTAATGGACAAGACCTAAATATGACACCAGACATAGAAGTCAAAAAAAAAAGTTGGCAAATCTGACTTTATAAAGAATTTTTAAAAATATGATTAATACCAAACAAAGTAAATAGACAATGACAAACCAAGAAACATCTGCAACCCATATCATAGAAGGTTAATTTGCCTAAGGTATAAAAATCTGCAAGTCAACAAGAAAAAGCAAAACAACCCAGTGGGAAAAATGGGCAAAGAAAGGATAAGAAGAAATGAGAATAACCTCCTCTTCACTCGTAAAGGTGCAATGCAAATTAAAACTACGCTGAGATGCTATTTTCACTTATTAAATTGGCAAATATCGAAAAGTTTTATAACAGGCTATGGGAAAACAGATAGTGTGGAATGAAATAACCTGCATCAAGGGCAATTCTGTAATATCTGTCAAAGTCACCAACGCTGTTACTCTTTGACCTACCAATTCCTCTTCTAGGAGTTGTCATTTAGATAATCTGGCATGGGGACATGACGTCTGTATTTGATTATTAAATGCATTATTGGTTGTAAAAACAACAGATTGGAAGCAACTTAAATATCGATCAGTGGGGAGACAAATAAACAATGTCACATCCATGTGAGGGAATAACCTGGAGCCACTGAAAAAGGAAAAGGAAAAAGATCCCTTATGTGTGGATATGTAATAATCTGCAAGATATTTAGCCACGTGTAGGACATGCGTTTGATACACTGCCATTTGTACACGAAAGAAAAATGTGTTTGTATGCATTTGCATATATATGCTTGAAATACCTCTATAAACATACACGAGGACACTGGGTAACATTGGTTGCCTGGGAAGGAGGGGGCGTCAGGTAGTTGGGGACAGATGGGGAGAAAAGATTTCAAAATATTTTTTGAATTTTGAACCATGTGAATATATTATGCTTTGATGTTTCAATACTTGAGTATGGTTTTATCTTCCTTCGGTATTCTGGCACTTAAAAAATTCTGTGTTTGGGATATTCTATAATCCTAGTTCTGTAGGTATGTTAATTTCTATGTATAGTAAGATCGTATTTATCCAGAATTCAACTATAGGATCACCTCACGTTTCTAGATTCTGGGTAATGTCAGGAAATAGCAAAATAAGCCAACAAGTAGGCAAAATACATGTCCAAAGTCCAAAATAAAGCTTCAGCACGTCACTCACCAGAAGTGTATTAGGATTCTTTTATTCTGTTTAATTAATGTATTTATTGGAGACAACTCTATCAAGCTTGATAAATTGATTTACGACTTATAGGAAGTGGATAGGAAGGGGCAGGGTCTGCGCAAAGCACTGAGAGTGTGTTAGCTCACATTCTGAGAGGCATGTTGCGGGTGGGGAAACTCTACAAAGCCAATGCAAGAACTTAAGACAGCAACATAAGGGGTCATTCAGTGCAGGAATACACCTCAGAGATCATATCTGCATGACTGTGACGTCCCAGTGGTGGTCTTGAGGGACCCAGTCACATTCAGGTACACTCAGGAGATCTGTTAAGACTGGTTTTCAAACCTGATGTTTAAATGAAATAGAAAGCGTTTGATGATAAGGAGCTAAAAACTTAGGCTCTCTGGATAATAAGATGAAATATTTCAGATAGGTGGTGTTTCGGAGTATATTATTAAAACTGCTTAACTGGAGATGTCATCAGAATGGCAGAATAACTGGTCAGAGATTCATTTTTCCAATGAACACAATAAAATTCCGATACAAAGTCTCAACAAATGAAAATATCAGTGTCTGAAATTGACAGCAGATATGCAAAAATGAGGCAAGAGAAATATTCTAGCACAATAAAACTGTTGCAGAATATGTAAGAGTCCAGAAGCAATGTCTGAGATCTCTGTAATGGCATGACTTCAAAAATCATGAACAAAATGTAAAGAATGGAAAATATCTGTTCGCAAGGAAATGAGAGGAATTGTAGCAGTCATGAATCTAGGACAGGCTAGAATAAGAGGCAGTAACATAATGATTAACTCATGGAGTGATTAAGAATATTGCCAGCATACTCTTTGACCCAGCTATCCATTTCTAGGTATCATTTTTCTAGATACACTTAGACAAGGGTATATATAGAATATATACGCAAGGATATGTGTACCCTTGTTGGAAACATAAATATCCTTTGCTTTGAAATAAGTGAAACTAGAAGCGACTTATCTACTAACTGAAAAGGGACTGATTAAACAAATGATGTTGTATCTATACAATGGTATTCTATGTAGTTATTAAATAGGAGGAAATACTATATACACTGATGCATAACATTGAGCGCTTTAAAATAAATAAAAAGGCAAATTGCACATTATGTAAAGCATTATTATGTTAAAAAACGTTCTCTGTGTGTCCAGGTACTTACGTGTTAGCATATGAATGAAAAAAAGGATTAGAAAGATACTCACCAAACTGTTATATCAGTTGGTTGGAGATTTCAGGAGAATAAGCAGTAGGCTTGAAACGTCCCCATTTTATTTCACACACAGCAATATTATTTGATTTTCCTTAAATTATTTTTTGGGTGTTTAGAAAGAAGAACGTTGTTGTTAACTCTTAGAAGTCCAATCGATGGGATAGACTAGGAAATTAAACCCAAACTGTAGTTGGATTAAGATGAAGTAATAAAAAATGACTGAGCTTGAGAATGGTGTATAATAATTTGTCTTGGGTTAAAAAGGGATTCCCAAAGAGCTGGTTTTAAATCAGTAGAAGTTAGTATCATGAACAGGGATTGTTTTTCTGCCTAAAACTCCTCCCTCCTTTCTCTGGGGCAGCACCCCCTTCTCTTGGGAACTTCTTTCCCCTTTGCAAACATTTGGCTTAAAGAATCTGCAATTTTCTCTCCAACTCCATGACTCCCACCACAAATGACAGGACAAAAGGCAAGTATGTAACCCAGACTGGGCCAATCATGTAACCACGACCTCCCTCCAATTATAATCCATTATGCCGGCATCTCCCTGGCCCAGGCAAGAGCAATCACAGCTCCTTCTCCTCATTTTCCAAACTGGACTTGGAGGAGGAGAGTCATTCCTGCTTTGATGCTGGGAAGGGAGGACTTACATCCTTGGAACTGTAACCACCCACGTGCAGGAGGCCAGGCTGCGGTGGATCACGGAGCCAATATTAGAAAGAGGCTGTGGAAGCGAGTTGGGGAGCGAAATAATCCAGCTCTAACCGCTGCCTGCTTCCTTTCTTGTAGTTACATGGGGAAATACTCTCCTTTTTCACTAAGTTCGTTCAGGTTGGGTTTCTATCCTTCACAGCCAAAAAACATACTGGCTAAAATAATAGGGGGAAAAGAGGGGCGGTGAGCAAAGTAACACATTTATTTGCTTGCACCTGCATTTCAGTGACAATGAAATGGTGACATGTGAATCTGAAAGGAAGCTGAGATCATTCAAAAGATGACAGATTAGGATGACTGTAATTTTTATAACCTGAACTGTAAAACCCAGGGATAAGGCAGTATTTGTAAATGGAAGAAGGATATATAGTCCTCCAAAGACCATTTCTTCTGGTTGAATGATCAATCATTTGGGGAAAAATAAAGCAGAATGATTTTTCACAGTTTCAAAGGCTAGAGAGAGATTTTCTGACCACGTATCTCACCTCTGAATAAAAGTTATTTTCAGTGGGGTACTGTGTGAGAAAACCATGTTGAAAGATTTAATTGAATATTCCAACAACTACTGGGGAGTAGTTAATGCTGGGCTCAAAAGAACATATGAGGTCAAAGAAGAGAACAAAAGACACATTTAAACATGGAACAATTAGTACAAAACTTATGTCAGCGAAAGGGGTCCAAAGTTCCTATTTCCAGTGTTTAATGTAAATAGAGATAAGAAGGTTTTTGTTACTTAACCTTGTAGAATTGAGCTAAATATAGCTATCTTCAACCCATTTTAGAAAGTAGTACATATAAGTGCAGACTGTGTAAAAAGGCATAATTGTTGAAGCAAAACAGAACAAGTATAGAAGGGAAAAAAAACAATTCAGTAGAGTGGATTTCGGGCTTAACTACTATTTCTCAAAAAGATAAAATTCGCTTCTAAAGAAAAGTCTCATTCTATATTTAAAAGCAGAGCCAATTTATAAAGTTTAAAAATAGAAGACGAACTAAGATATCACTACTAAATTATAGGGTAAGTGTAAATGGCTTTCACTACACTAGAGGACAATGCATAAAGTATTCATCATAATAGTCACTGTATCAAATAATGAAAAGGCACAGTGAAGAAAAGAACACTTCAACAATTTTGCATTTAGTCAGCATAGCATTAAAACATACTAATGAAAACTTGTTCAAAATGGAGGGAGGTATGGCAGTGGTCAGAAGTCTCTCTGCAGCCCCACGAGTCCATGGACTGACAGGAGAGCGCCAGCTGCCAGGCTGTGAAATCTGTCACAGTGTAAAGCCATACCACCCACAGGCTGCTCCCAAAGGATCTAAGGCACACACGTTCCTGGAGACACGGGATTCCTCTGATTGACACTGCAGCTTGGGGACTCCCCAACGATTTCCCCAGCCTCCCTAGACCACGTGGCAGTCTAAAATACTTCCACCCACCTTCTCTCCCTCTGCCAGTCCCTCCAGGTCAGGCTTGCATTGTGACTGATGCCCCTCCCAAGCCGTCTCTGGCTCCCTCCCCATATTTTCTCTCAGGCATTTCCCTAATAAACACCTGCATAATTAATCTGCTTCTCTGATAACCCAGACTAACCTAGAGAGTGTGAGAAAATAATGCATTTGTGGTGAGAGTGCACAGTATCAGGATGGGAGCGACCTCAGCAAGTCAGATAGCAGACATGCTAGAACCTTAATGTGGTAGATGTGGCAAGAGGAGGAAGTGAGAATTCCACGTAACAATCTAGTGATTTCCCAGATTGGTAGATCCCAGGAGCAAACACAGATTTTCGGGGAGGCAGAGTTTGGCACTTTGAGAAGGTCCCAGAGAGGACCTTGAATGTAGGAAGTGTTCGTACCAGGCAGTAACTGGGGGTGCATAATTGTGCTTGGCTCATCTATCCCAGAGCCGAGGGCCCAGGGGGCAGGATCAAGCATCCTAGGCAACGGTAATGGTGGAGTGGAGCTGAGATCCAGTCCTCATGGAGATTATAGCCAGAGGTGGACACAGGAGTTCTAAGGCATCAGTCATTGTTCAGTAGGAAAGTGATGACCCAGGAGGCGCATCCACCACAGATGAGCTGTTAGGAGCACCAGCTCTCATCACAAACTCTCATACTCGTACAAAGACCTGCAATGTAATTCTTTTTTTTTTTTAGAGGGGAGGTATTTAGGTTCACTTATTTATTTACCTTTAGAGGGGGTACTGGGGATTGAACCCAGGACCTAGTGTATGCTAAGCATGCTCTCTACCACTTGAGCTATACCCTCCCCCCTGCAATGTAATTCTTATCTGTTAGGATTACTTCAAAGAGTGGTGGTGATTCTTAGGGCTGGGAAAGGCAAGAACTGACAACATCAACATGATAAAATAATAAATGAAAATATTAAAGACTCGGATGATCTGATTGTTCAGGCAAGTTAAACAAATGCTTATGAAATTAGATGAGAAAAATGCAAAATATACTTGTGTACACTGTTACCCCCAAAATTATAAACAGGCCATAGAGGTATTTTTAAAATACCAGCCACCAGCCGCCTAGCTGCAGGAATTCTGCTAACACATTCTCTAACCATAACCCATTTGAAGAACAAATGAATAATAAAAATATCAACAAATTGTTTAATTTCTTGGCATATTAAAATACTTTTTTATAAGTAAAAATTGGCTTAGGAAAGAAATTAAAAATGCAATAAAAACTATTTTAAAGTAATAATAAACACAGTTCTGCATATCAAAATGTGTTGAGATGTGGCCATAACAATGTTTAGAAGAAAATGTACTCATTTGAAGGTCTTTAATAAGAAAAAAATGTTTAAAAAGGTATTAATGGAAAAACTATTATGCTGTAAAATTCTAGAATAGAACAAAGTATTCATTTAAAGCAAACTAGGACAGTAAAATAAAAGCACAAATGAATAACATGGAAAGTAACTGGTATAAATTATTTGTAAAATTAAGAGCTGGTTATTTGAAGAGGAGAAGAAAATGAATAAACCTCTGATAAATGTAATTAAAAAGACAGAATACTTCTAGTGCATACAGAGCTCTGAATAGATACCCATACATCTCCCGTCACATTTCTTGGATATCTGCAACATCTGCCAATTAAAAACATCAAAGTACACACATAGAAATTAATCCCCAAATTAATCTCCTTTGCTGGCTTCTTTCTGGCCATCAAATGTTGCAGAGGTCCATGCTCTGATCTCTTAGTTTCATCCCTCAGTGATATCATCTGGTCTCTTGGCTTTTAAGATAGTCTATTTAAATTCAAAGTTCCGATTTGTTGTCTGTATCCTTGACCTTTCTCCATTGATCTCAAGATGTTTGTATTGAATTTCCTACTCGATAGCTCCGCTTTGATGTCTAATAAGCATCCTTTAATGTAAGCACCTGAAACAGGGCTTTCTACATACACCCACTCACAGCGTGTTTCTCCCTCAGTTTTCTTTCCCATAATAAATGACACCACAATTCATCCAGCTATTCACGTATCAAACTTAGAAACTATGCTTGATCCATCTGTCTCTCATCTCATTGCACACGGAATCCATCAGCTCGTCCCACTGGCACTGTCTTAGACTATACCTAAATTTCAGGTGCTTCTTACTGCTTCCTTTGCTATCACGTTAAGCCATATCTTTATCATCTCTTGCCTGGATTTCACAGTGATTCTAACAGTCTCCTGCTTCTATCCAACACCACCTCCCCCAGGAGACTGGGTGATTCTTTAAAAACTGTCTAATGACGTCCCACCACACGTAAAAGAAAGTTCATAGCTTTCTCTCAAATTGCCTGGCTGACTCCTTCACTCCTTCTGCTCAGATGCCAGATCACGTTATCAAAAATGGAACTGCATCACCGCCACCATCCGTCTCTCTCCAGCCCCCTTTCCTGCTTTATTTTTCCTCACAGTTGCGGGGACCTAAAACAGCTACAGCCGCTGTAACTTCCTGAAACTGCAGCGTTTACTTGCATGTGGTTTATCTGTCTGTCTCCCCCTCAGGGTGTCAGAGCACTGCACACACCCTTGCCCTGTCCCACCTCTATTACCTTTTTTTAAAAAAAAAAAAGTCTACTGAGAATCGGCAATTTCCCAAAACAGGCAGAAAGGTGGTCCCATCGTCTGAGGCTGTGGGGGCCCATGGTCAGAGGCAGGTACCATGAAAACAGTAGTTTCTACATGTGATTAGAGTTTTTACACCAAACTGAGAAGCTACGACCGCTGTAGAAAACAGGTGTACTAATGCGTACCTGCTGGGAACACAGACAAGGCCTGGAAGGGCTACCTGCCATCCAGAAATGTGAGAAACGGACTTGAAGGTCGCTTTACTTGGATTTTCTTTCTAGTTCCCGGGTGGAGCTTGACTGGGTCCTTAATTTCTCTCAGTGCATCTCAAGATTACAGCTTTAATGCACCTTACAGAGGAGAAGCTTAAATCAAAGAAAGGATTAAAGAGTTATTTTATGGCTTCTCACTACTCCAGGAATAGCGTATAAAAGTGTTGGGAGAGAAGTTTTGGGGTCATCTTGACAGTCTGCAAGCCCTCAAGGAAACTGGCTGTACTTTTAAGTGGATGTCAGAGAGCTTAGGAACAGTAGCTTGGACAGAGGCGTGTGTCCTGTAGCTTCGGACACCCACAGACAGGTCGTCTCCAAATCACTTCTTTTTGGGAAAACCACAAAGTGTGGTTCTGAGCCTTATCAAGAATGGTTAGGCATTCCAGGCTCAATTAACTCACTAGTCTCTTAAATATAGATTGTAAAAATCCAATAACACTCTTATATTTCAAACATAGCATTGGCATCGAAATGCAACCTGCTGTACTAAAATCCAGTTACATCCGCCAGTTCTATATTTATGGACCACAGGCTTTAGAAAATGTAGAGGACAATCTGGAAAGCAAAGTCAGAAACTTTCATTTCAAAATAGGATTTGGTTGGGAG